CTTAATTTTAGGAAGCCCTAGCCGCTTTGCTTCCGATCCGGCCCTACCTATGTGCGTACAATATCCAGGTCACTTGTGTCTACAGTATCTACAGCATCCATTGTATACAGTATCCAGGTCACCCATGTCACTTCTGTGCTCGACATGCGTAATTATTTTGTGCACCAATCCTGTGTGTACAGCAGTAGGTTCTGGGAGCGCGGGTAAAGCTTCTGGGCTTAAATAGCTTTGCTGCACATTTTTGCCTGCAGTGGAATTTGTGTATGTGCCAGAATAACTACGCCATCCCAGGTGTCACAGCCGAGTATTGCGCATGCGCGAGGTGGCAAACGTTCCATCCCAGGACGAGCTGGATGTGGGACGTGGGGAGCGGTGTCGAGGGACACTCCGCACCGCGGCTTCTGTGGGGTTGGTTCATGGGGACGGGCTAAGGGGGGGTGGGTGGGACTGCGGCGTTCACGGGGGGGAGGGGGGGGGGGGCGAAGGGTGGATATTCCTCCATATTTTCCCGAATATCTGCACTCTGTTTTGCTCGTAGAAAATGTGCATTTCAATTTGTCTGATAATGAAAACAAAGTCCAAGGCGAGCGTCGGTGTTTGGAGCGGAAAGTAACCGTCCAACGGAAGTATTTTGCTCGGGTAAAACATGTTATAAAAAGCTACAGTGAGCTTGTCTTTCCCTTTCTTGGTGCGCTGTGCCGGGGTTTCTCTGCGGTGAACGCTAAACTTTGACCTGCTGATACGCTTCTAAGTGAAAAAGACTCCTAAAGACAGCACAATTTCTCTGTTTTGTGAAATGCTGCTCAACATAACATTGATTGATAGCGTCATCGTCCCTTGCACAACACTGCTTGAAAGTAAATGAACGGTTGTTATGTCTGGAAATCGTGCTCACGAAAGCCTGACATGAACCACTAGACAATCATTTCTTTCTTGGCCTTGATCGCCGTTTGAACAATGGAATGACAGGACTTGAATGACGTTATGATTACGTTAGGGATGCGTGAGCAGCCTTGAGATAGTCTCCGAAAACTATGCACATATTTGCGGGCATGTAGCTAAGAAACATGGAGGCTTCCTGTCGTAAGATGGGCAGCGCCGTGAACCGCACCAAATAATCTTCATGATAGCCATTTGAGCTCAATACCTCATACACATATGACATTCTCTTTGAAGGGAATGCTCCACATTTGATGATATTGAGACAGGTATTAGATCTGTTGCATTTGTGAAATTTTGTGGGGGTCCCGTCCCCCTCCCTCAATGTTGAGTTGGGCCCCCCGATGTTGGCTTGCCCCCAATTTTTTGGCGGAAATACTTTAAAAAGCGTGGGTAAAAAATGAGGGTAACTCAAAGACTATCCCCTTTGATCTTTCTGCGTAGTGGTGTCTCGCACCACCCTCATACAACAAAAAGTTGTGGTTGCTCTCACCACAAGATGCAAATCGTCACAGGTGAGCGGATGAACAATGCAGTTAACTTCACATACCTAGCGCCATAAGACACGCAATGGTTTGCGAGGTTCAAGTGAAAAGCTCTGGAATATGGGGATGGCCTAAGTCCTTCATGGCTAACAACTGCATGCCGCGTCCCATGACCGCCAAAGAAGAGCGCCATCGGCGCATTAAGATGGCCTCTAAAGGGGCGCCTTCACGTGCCGATGAGAAGAAAAGCGTGCGTCCAGTGTCTGCTCCCTGGATGCAACCCGCCATTAATTCTCTACGGCCTAAATTAAAGACTTCAATAAATTATACAAAGAATAAAGCGTACATTGAGTTAAATCAGAATAAAGTGGGCTAAATCCGGTGAGAAAAATCGGGGAGTCCGATTAGGCTGTCGAGCCCTCGGTTCAACCGTTCCAATTTATAAAATGTACACCGCTGCCTATATCCATCAGCGTCGTAAAGTATAAAGACTGCATCAAGTATAAAAGACTGCTCTAAACAGCATAATTCCTCTGTTTATTGAATATGCTCTACAATGCGTAATTGTTGGATTGGTCGTCGTACATCGCACAGCATTGATTGACATCCAATTGACAGCCTTTATATCTGGATGTCGTGCTCACGAACGCCAGATATGAACGACTCAGTACTTCTATTGTTTGCCCTTGTTCGCCGCATGGCTTATGGAAAGGCAGGATTTGAGTGATGTCGTCGAAAGTTGCATGAAATATATGTACTAAACTTGAAAATTCCTAACACCCAAAAACCCACGGTTGGAGCAAAATCACAACCCGAGAGGAGAGTTACGTGACGTGCACAGCACGTTTGATTCCTTCTGGAAGAAATTCTTTCACACATATGGTTTGGACAACCGACGAAGCGTCATCGGACCCTGAACTAGCCGGATAAAGTGTTAGAAAACAATCACATTGCTGTCTTTGAAACAACAACCTGGAAGGATGCTTTGCTGTGCTATGCTTGCTTACGATTTCGTATGTTGCTTAATAACATGCTGATCTTATGCCCGCTGATCTTGTGAAACATGTTTTCCTAGCAGGTACTTCATGTTAGCGCATGTTGACCATTCATGCATGACTTGGTTCGGCCCCGCCATGCCATCGGTACGTTACTGTGAAAGTGCCTTGTTTTGACCAAAGATCGTGCCTATTCTGAATTTGTATCAGGATTTGTTCTAATATTTGACCACCATATCCTTTTTTAATTTGTTGAAAGCAGTCTTCAAGCTTGCCATCCGGGTGTTGCCATCCGGTCACCTCCGGTCCGGCGTTCGGCTAGGATACCAATCAATGACGGATTATAGCGCTTTTGGGCGGGCAGTATGGCTTAGCTGAAGCAGAAATAACCGCCTTGTATCGAATCCGAAAACATACCAAGATCTGCGATCTTTCAAGGAAGTTTCACACATTTCTATGGGATTTTGAATTCATATAGCCACCTCGAAAACCACTCGCAGCAGTTCACATCCCTGCCCTTCTTAAAAGAAATGTTTCACATTTGAAGATGTTGAAGCAGGCAACACTTATGATGAAACAAGATCATTTATAACTATTAGTCTACTTTTGAGTAGAGAAGACTGCTCTGGGTGCCATAATTTCACTGTCTAGGAAAAATGTTCCTTGATGCGTTAATTGTTTGAATACGTCATCGTACCTTTCGAAACAGTGATTGCAAGTCCAAACAAGATCATTTAAAACTATTAGTCTACTTTTAAGTAGAGAAGACTGCTCTGGGTGCTATAAGTTATCTGTCTAGGAAAAATGTTCCTCGATGCGTTAATTGTTTGAATACGTCATCGTACCTTCCAAAACAGTGATTGAGAGCCAATTGACGGCCATTATATCTGGAAATCGTGCTGACGAACGCCAGCTATGAGCGAGTCTACCATTTTATTTGCTTTAGCCTTGATCTTTGCATGGGTTATGGAATCGCAGAATTTGAATGACATTTTTATGAAGTCATGAATTGTAAGGTGACTTTGAATACTCTTTCCGAAATATTGTCCCCCATTTTCGTAGGCGTGTAACTCGGAAACTGAGGGGGTTTAGATGTTAAGAAGGGCGGGGCTTTGAGGTGAACCGAAAGGTCTTTATAATGGATATTTCAGTCCAAAACCCCATATAAATGTTGAACACTCTCTTTAAGGCCTAAATCCCTCTGGTTCCTGAGCTGCACGACCGCAAAAATGGGAAGTTTTTCAAGGTCACCTTCACATTCATGAGGTGATGAAAACGTCATTAAAATCGTGTCATGTCATAACCCATACCGAAGTCATATCACAATTCAAGACCGGGAAAAATATAATGGTCTAGTCGGTCAAATCTGGCGTTCGTGAGCACGATTTCCAGATATCACGGTCGTCGATTGGCTCTCAGCCAATCCTGTGTGAAGTGCAATGACGTAATCAAACAACAACGTACGGTGGAACAAGTTCACGCGTAGACAAGTTTTGTTTTTTAAAGCAACCTTTTCTACGTGAAAGCATACCAACAGTCATAAGTGACCTTTTTGCATCGCATCTGATCCTTGGCTTCAACACATTCAGATGTGTAGCATTACCTATAAGTTGACACCTGCTAATATAGTTGGCCAAATCTACTACCGTCCTGTCACTAATAAAAGTGGTACAAGGAACGCGGCTTCCCCATATTCGTCCCTTGAATTAGGTCAGGCTGCGCTGAAAGGTATAGTTCTACATTTCTATAGGGTTTTGAACTGAAATATCCACCTTTAAGAGCCTCCGATGCAGTTCAATCCTTGCCCATCTTAAGTCCTAAACCACTCTAGTTCCTGAGCCAAACGCCCGTTAAAATGGGCAGGGTATTTCAAAGTCACCTTGGCATGCATGACGTCATTATACCATCATTCAAATCCTACCATTCCATAAGCTATGCTGCGATCAAGGGCAAGGAAAATAAAGTGTTCGAGCTGTTCATAACTAGCGTTGTTGAGCGCAATTTCCGGTTATGAGGGCCGTCAACTGGCTCGCATTGTTTTGCAGTGGTACGACGAAGTACGCTGACGTAGTCCAACAATGACTCACCGAGGAACATATTTACTGAACAGAGAAATTGTGAAGTATGGAGCAGTCTGTCTACTTAAAAATATACCAATGGTTACAAGTGGACTTGTTTCATCATATCTGATGCTTACTTTAAAATCTTAAAATGTGAAACATCACCTTGAAGGAGGCATTTTGTACGAGTTTCCAGGGGATCGCCAAGAGCAGGTTTGTTGGAGTATTTCTGAGTATTTCTCAAATACCATAGCTACCAAAGCATTGTCAAAATGTGGATGGTTCCCTTACTGCTTGTCTGGAGTCAGCTCTGGCGAGGACGCGCCTGTTCTGCTCGCCGTCGGGCATAATGATGCGAATGTGTCTGGATGCTAATTATTAGAGGGCCGATCCCTGCATCCAAACCCATGACGACATCAAACATACACTGTGATTGTTTTGCATCTAGTTTCGGGAACCGCAAACATGAAGGTAAACTCAGTGATGGCGTCAGGCTGGCTTATCATTGCTGCAACGGTACACCTTGTTTTGCCACGGGTTTTATTTGGCTTTGCACAAACACACTGTACATGAATCATCTTCTTTGGAGGAGAAAATAACCCTCATTATACTAAAACAGCAGAATTAGATCATCTTAAATTATGAATATAACAATATCGATGACGTTACGCGGCAGGCTCGAACAATGCCGACACGTTACTGGCACACTAAGGCTGTGACGTGTTCTTATGCTGTGACATCCCAAGGTCATCAAGGTTGGTATTTTGTTTTTGCTTTTCCAAGGTTCAGCTTTTGCGTACTGATGGTTGATTGGTCGACATAGGTGCAAAGCATGACGTGTTAATATGGCAGGAATAGGATATGAAATTAGCTATTTCATACCAAGGTATGTCTTATGACAGCAGATTTGTTGGTCGCCGTTTCCGATTTCCCAGCTGCCGGTGAATCCCAGCATTTCGGACATATTCGGCGTGATATTCATCGCCTTTGCGCCATTCACATCGTGCGCTTGTGTGTGCAATGAGCTAAAGTCAAATACGTTATATTTTGTATCTAATGTACACGATACACCGCGAGGCCAGTCTTACCAGCCTGCATGGCCATTTGATGCGCATCAAGTGCCTCTGCGGCTTGCAAGCTTGCCAGCGGGATGGTCAGGTCTACAACAGTGCAAGTATTAGGTGCATTTACACTGAACTGAGACGGCATACGCGGTGTATGTGCAGAAAGCGATCACGATATTGACGGTCAGCCATGCCATTCCACCAATCCAACAACAACAGAGAAGAGTGCACCGTCAGACTTCAGTGACGTACAGAGAGCCGGAGGGTGGCACAGTACATCGTCTCTAAAACTATACGCGCCCATACACCAAAGCGGATGGCTAGCGCTCTGTTTTAAATAATGCATGGTTGGAACGCCAGCAGAAATACTGTCAACACCATGTGTGGCACCGGGGTGTTCTCAGCCTGCCAACAGGGGTCACTCTTTCCCAGGCGCTCCCGCAGCTCCTGCATACCCCGCTGGAGCCCCTGGCGCACCTCCGCCAGCTCCATGCGCCTGCCGTGGAGACACAAACAAAGCAATTATCAGACACCACAACACGAGGGATCATGGCATTGTTACGCTGTATACTCATTAATAGCATTGTCTCTGGTATTGGGCTGCTGTTTGACACGCCGAGGCACGCTTTGGCGTAGTTGAGAAACATCACAGGAAGATTATATAAGCTATTCCACCAATCCTCCGGCCCGAAGCAAGTGATGTGTGTGTGTGTGTGTACTCTCATGAGTTATTGAACCACGCCGGATTTCGGTATATCAGTCCCCAGCTCTCACCGTGTTCGCATCAGCGGGAGCTCGCACCGTGCTCACACCAGCGGGCCCCGAACGCACATCTAAGCAGTTCCTTCCGCCGCCGCGGCCTCCGGCGCCACCTGACGGTCGGGGCAGCACTGAATGACCGACATGCGTGGGCACCTTCGAAACCTGTCAAATGTTGTTTGAGCGTATCGCACCACAATGCCCGTAAAACGAGTACTAAATAACCGTATAATACCCGTTTTGGCAATAGCTACTGCGTGAAATACGCAAACGCTAAAATTGGTAAAGAAATGTCCAAGAATGTCGGAGTTTCAAAGAATGTTATTTGGTCTTCTTAAAACAAAAGGTTTTTCACTACAATACATGTTCCGTATGTGGCAGGTTGAGCACGAAGCTTAAAACAATTGCTCGATATATTTTGGAATAGTCCATAGTATTCCACGCCTTTTCTCCTCGTTACTTGGATGGCATTGAGCAACTCGGGTATGCAAGCTACAATGCTTTGGCAAGCAGTGCTGGCAGAAACTGTCAAATTTGTGACAATGGTGTAACAGACGCATGCAATAGCCGATAGAATGGCGAAGAACTTGATTGGATGCGCTATGCCATCACCGTTGGCCTGGGCTCCCGAGAGTTCGCCGTCCAAAGTCGAACAGCAAGCTCATCGCAAGGTCCATAGTCGGAGCGGGAGCTAAGCATGAGGTTCAAAGTCGGACCGGGGAGCTCGTCATAAGGTCTTTAGTCGGGACGGGCGCTTACCATAAGGTCCATAACCGGACTGGCCCGGTGTCCGTCCAAGCAGCTCACACCGTGGCCGGTGCCGCCTCCGCTGCTGGCCCGCCGCCGCCGCTCCGCCGCCAGGGCCGCCGGGACCTCCGAGCGGTCCCCCACCCCGACCGCCGGCACCTCCATACACAATGCCACCCGGGTGGCCGGCACCCCCGTGCGCACCCCGCGTACGCGCCGCCGCCAGGGCCGCCGGGACCTCCGAACGGTCCCCCGCCCGGACCGCCGGCACCTCCATACACAATGCCACCCGGGTGGCCGGCACCCCCGTGCGCACCCGCGTACGCACCGCCGCCAGGGCCGCCGGGACCTCCGAACGGTCCCCCACCTCGACCGCCGGCACCCTCCATACACACTGCCACCCGGCTGGCCGGCACCCCCCGTGCGCACCCGCGTACGCACCCGCCGCCAGGGCCGCCGGGACCTCCGAACGGTCCCCCGCCCGACCGCCGGCACCTCCATACACAATGCCACCCGGGTGGCCGGCACCCCCGTGCGCACCCGCGTACGCACCGCCGCCAGGGCCGCCGGGACCTCCGAACGGTCCCCCACCTCGACCGCCGGCACCTCCATACACACTGCCACCCGGGTGGCCGGCACCCCCGTACGGACCCACGTACGCACCGTCGCCCCAACCGTGGGGACCTGCATACGGTCCGCCGCCCCAACCACCGGACACCTCCATACACACCACCACCCCGGCCACCGGCACCCCCGAACGCACCGCCGCCCGGTTGGCCCGCCGCGCCTCCTGGGTAGTAGTCTACCCCGTCGTATCCCCCGTATCCGCCCGATATCCTCCGTACCCGCCCCGTATCCGCCGCCGCCGCCCCCGTATCCACCGCCGCCGCCGCCGCCGCCGCCGCCTCCGCCGCCGCCCCCGCCCACCGCCACCGCCCCCTGAAACGGAAAGGTGTCCGGATGGCGCATGGGTCAGTGCCGACAATGCGTCTTCGATTCGAGGTGATATACTTCTCATGGTACGTAGGTTGGGAACATGTAGATTTGAGCTTAGCTTATCGCGATGCGATGTGATTGTCGTTTTTTTTTACTTGGATCGATGACTTTGACTGACACTCCGCTGACATATTACTTCAGACTACAAGTTGCTGCGTTCCGATATTTATATTTGTATGCAGTTCAAGTCCGAGGTATGCGGCTGCAAAGTACGTTCACTTGAAATTCAGAACATTTGATTAACATCTGTCGCTCGTTTGGTCGTAAGTGACGTTTGCAAGCTTGAATGATTATCATTATCCCTTGACACAAGAATAGCTTCTCAACCAATCAGTCTCGAACTCCAAACGGAGCGCATATGTTGCATCAGCAAATGCCACGTCATAAGCGGATTACACCTTGCTCGGGCTTATGCCGTGTCCAGGAGAATCGCAGCCGCACTGGTGTGCGCCAAAAACGAACCAGCCTAGTTCCCCAGCGTTCCAACAGATGGCGCTTACCTCCATACTGCGCGGCGGCGCCGGCCGCCACCACCAACACGGCCAGCACGGTTCTCATCCTGGAAAAGGTGTCAGCGGCGGACCATGGGCTCTCTTAAATAAGCTCGCCCCCCCGAAAAGACTGTGACGTGTTTAGAGAGGCCTCTTTAACCGGTAGAACATGCCGAATGGAAGGCAGCAGACACAACGGATATCTGGCGATGCATCGGCTTCGCTCAAGAGCATGGATTCCCCTAGCCTTGACTGGATCCGGACGAGCGCCTCGATTCGCAATAAACGGCTTAAGACAGGCCTGTAGAACTGAAAAATTCACGCCGTTGCCAGGCCGGGTTGGCGGCATATGCGCCAGCATTCCGTGGAATATATACAGCCAGTTCGTGCAGAGCCGGGATTTCCCAACTGCTTCCCGCGGCTGGGAAAGACCGGGTGTGGGCCTCTCCGCCTCTCCGCTCCCACACGTGCGCCGTGTCTGACTGAGGGGTCAGTCTCGGCAAGGGCTCGGAACTGGTACGGTAAAGGCATGAAAATTAATAGCAACAACCCAGTGACTGCATGGTTTCATTCGCCATGTTCTTTGAACAGATACAAGCTCGCGACGAAAAGTGAAGACTTCACCCATTTAAGGTTACAGAATGTTATTCAGAGTTATCGCGTACATATGTGCCTATGCTCTCCCTTCCAAAATGTAGCACTTTGGGAGAAAGTAAATGTGTCGTCTGAGTACCAACTCAAAACCTTTGTTTTTAAAGGCTGAGTGAGCAAATGGAAGCATTCGTCTCGGATGACGCTTCAACGCGGCATTTCTATTCCGAGAAAGCTTGCACACCAACTACGCTCGATCTGTGCTTGCAAGCTGACCTTGTGCAATGTCAAGCCGCGCGCGCCTCGCCAGCACTGAGCCTGGCGCGGCTTCAGCCAGCAAGCCCTGTGGCGTGTTGCACATCATTCCACCCAACACTGCATCCATGATTGGGCGACGAGCGAGCAGTGAAGGACGGAGACCAGGTGGGAACCGCTATGTGCACTGAATCTTGACCGCGCAAAATGGGGGGGTTCGGGAAATACAGTGGGTTCATGAGCTAATTGAAGAGGTGGCATTCCTACGGTGATCTACGGTTTATTGAAGCGGTGGTTTACGGTGACTGTGCCATCAAGAGCAGCAACGGAATGTGATGGCGCCCATGGGCCGTTCTTACGGCGATCGACCTAGTTAAGGGCGTGCACAATTTAGAACCCGTCGTTCCTTGTCATTTCCGAGCACGTTTTGGTCCGGTTGAAAGAAATTTCTTGGTCGGTGAAGGCATCGGAATAATGTCAATAGCTCTTGTATTGTAAAAATATTGTAGTGTATCTTGTAAACATTTGGTATGCTTTGGGTGTAATCTTGACGTCCTTGGTCTAATACTTGTGACACTATGCCACTCAGCTCCATGTCAAGGTAGCAAATACGTTCCGAAAACGCGTGGCTTGAGTTCACTGTACTTCACTTAATTCCTCAGATGATCGCTTTCTAAACACGTCGAGGGGACGTTTGGCTGGCCTTCGTTAGTGGGCCTCATTTCAGGAACATGCTCAGGGGCATGACGTCACCCGTCAATATTGGGTCAGCAAGTAAGGATGCTAACCCCTACGGTTTATAGAAGTATCGCAAGTGTAAAATTACAGGTTTGAAATCAGGTATCATAGGTTTGAAATCATGTATCACAGGTTTGAAATCAGGTATCACAGATTTGAAATCAGTACCGATTGCTGTGATTCATATTTTTAAAGTCTCGAGATTTCAAAGTGTCTTGCAAGCGTGTATTTCGGGATTTCATTTAAAGGCAGCTTGTAGCAGGAAACATGACAAGAACACGCCGCTAAACACCATCTTAACACTAAAAGAACACTGTCTGTGCGTAACACTGTCAACACTAATGCAGCGCCCGGCAGTCACCGCCGACGGCCACCTGGCTAATATTCGCAAGACTGATGCTGCAAAACCACCTGTTTTCTCCTGCAGCCCCAGCTCAACAAACGGTAGCTGGTGACCTACTGAATTCACTCACTCTTACTCACAAAACTCATTCCTATGAATTTTACCCGGTCATAATCAGAGCGCCCGAAACATGGCGGGATGCGTAGAGGCCCACTTCACGCTGCGGGGCGCCCCTGCGGCTGGCGGACGTGGAGTGCTGGTCGTCTCGTCGAACATCTGACAACTGTCGGCGGCTGGCAGAACTATTCGCTGACAGCTGCCGGCGCCGGTGTGGAGCGAGGGGAAGGAGGGAGGAGGCTTCACGTGCCCGCCGGTGGTCGGCGCGTGCAAGTCTCGGCCGAGCATCATGGGCATCCTTTGTCCGCCGGAGCATGTGCGGCGCGCGAGCGGCCGCCGATTCCAGAGCGGGTGGCTGAGAGCGGATGAACGATTTTCAAGTTGGGACCAGGATTCGGCTCGTGGAGCGAGACACACTTTGTTGTGCACGTTTTTAAAATAGCACCGAACATTCTGTTGGTAAGTGCAGATACAAGCGGGGTGGATCTCCAAATCAACACGGTTACGCACGTTCCATGTGATGAGCATGTTAGAAGTTCACGTTGCACCACGCATATCTGTCGATGCATGCATGACACGTATTTCTTATTTGTGGGAACAAGAACGGGTTAGTAGTGGAATACCCAGCCAGCAGTGTGGATATTAGCCGGAACCCTGACCGGCATTGTTCTGCCATCACTTAATAGTGTCACCACCTCGTCACTTTGCGAGTGTTGATTGCCCGTTTATCCGGCTTCCTCACCTCCTATAGGTTGACCCCACCATTTCAAGTTCATATCAGGTGGGTTGCGCCCCACGCAAAATACTCTTCGCCCCAAGGACGCCGCGTTCCGTCCGTGTACGGGTTGCCATCTTCGTGTAGTGAAAGCACCACACCAATAAGATTTAAGTTCTTTCGGTGTATAGGATGCAGGCTTTGTGGGCAGTGGAGCAAAAGAAACAGCACCCAAGTAGCCGGGAGAAGTGAGGCAGCACAGCGGCATGCAGTTCAAATGGGAATCATTTTACCGATCGTAATTAATTATAAACCGCCACCCTATAACACTTATTTACAGCTTGCCAAGCATACCAACTGAAATCAACGGGACGCGAGTGGCAGGGCAAGTCCAGGTCATGTCCAGGGCATTCGACATCCTAGGCCTGCAGCGTGTCACTGTGGAAATACGACAGCAATTTTGTTTGGCTCATAGCTTATATCCTTTCTCACTGGCCATCATAGTAGGCCTTCGCAACAGTGCAGGGTAGGGCGCGGCTGACCGGCGTACCTTCCGCAATGGTCACGGCCTGGCGCAGGCTGGAAGATGCACCGTGAACTATAATTGAAATTCATGGCCAAAGCCTGGCACACCCCATAGCTGCTTAAAAAGATATCCTCATATCACAAGAGCGGAGAGTAGTGTGCATGTTCTTTGACCCCCATTCATGTGGCTTAGTCGTGTTACAACATCCATTCTCCGCCGAGAGATCGGATACCAGGAGCACCGAGCGAGGCCTGCCGCTGGTGTCACAGTTTTCAATTAAACTACGCCCCGCGTTCGCGAACACGTCATAGAAAAGAAGAGCATTTGTGTTCTGTCTCTGTAAAGCTCCCGTTTATAGCTGACAATAACAAAAACGTGTACGTAAAGCTCCCGTTTATAGCTGACAAGAACAAAAAGAGAGGCATTTGTGTTCCGTGTACGTAAAGCTCCTGTTTATAGTTAACAAGATGCGCAAACAGCTGTAAGCCACCTAGTCAGCGGGTGGTTTGCTCCTCGCAAGCGGGGCATGGGCTAGTGATCCGAGTCTAAAGTCCATGCAGTTCGATCGGCCCTGGAAACCAGGGCGTGTCCAGCTGGAAGTGGAGTTCGAGACGCATGTGTCAATCGTCTGAGAGGAAAACGCGCATGGAATAACGTGATTTATAGATAATCTAGTAAACCCTATCTATTTATTTTTCATTCAGGATAAACGAAACGTGTATCGCCGACTTAATATCGATTCGATATCACCGGCTCGTAGAAGGCTGTATCGCCGATTACATGATGAACACATTGGAGGTGCTCGTTTACAAAGAGCGTGCACACCATTAAGTAAAAACGTGGCAACATGACGCGCAGGAAGGTATCGCGTTTTTTTTAACTCCAGCTTTAAAGCAGAAATTATAGCAACTGCAGAAGATAACACGGATCCCAG